GAAATCGCGTATTTTAAGCGCGGAAGTCAGTCAAAATTCGATTCGTGAAATTCGTCCAAGTACGCTGGCCAATTTTCGATTCGTGAATTCGTATACGTACGCTAGCCAATTTTTTTTCTTTTCGAAAAGAAAAAATCTTTGAAAACTGAAAGCGAGGTTTCTGGCTTTTTTTGAGGAAAAAAATCTTTTTTAATTATTGCATCATTAATTTAAAAACCCTCAGCTGCCGATTTTCCGTTAGTGCCTTAGAAGCGTCAAATGGCAACGACTAATAATTCAAGCCTTTTTTTGCATTTTTGCAGTGCTTAGCATTAAATGAGCTGATGTCAAAATTTCTGCTGATATTGTTCTGGCTACTACTGTTAGCTTGCGCATTTCGTAACACGCCAGATCACTCAGTAGAAAATTTTTTGCTGAGTGACCATAAAAAAACGTCTTAAGTTACAACTGCTTGATGACTGAATGTTTTTGTGTGCCTTTCAACTATAAATTTTTAACAGTATCTGATTGGTGACTGTAGCCAATTGTGCAAATTACTGCATTTCAGCTGTGGAAGCCGAGTTGTGTTTATTGGCTTAATTTCTGGCAAAAAAAGTGATAACAGTGAAAGTACACTGCAAGTAGCTTCGAACGGCAGTAATTGGTTGTGTGAAATCTTTTCTCCATCTCTCCATTAGTCGTTTTCAGCGCTCATATATCGAACACCGTAATAATCTTCACCGACACTGTTCTGACTGCCAGATGTCATTGGAGCAAACCAGCGAATTCTAAGCGTTTCAGTTCCTGAAAGTTTTTCCGCTGAATGCTCGCTGGGAATAGCATCAGACACCAACAGTTCGCCGCGTGGCAGCGCATCTTTACACTGATCGTTTTCAGTAATATCTGTTTGAATATGGTAATTGCTCTCGCTTGTGCTATGTGGGTTATGGCATGCCAGTTGTGTCTGCTGTAGAACTGTAGAATCGTTCTGACGTTCCTGCGTTAGATGTACCGTGGGAAGACAATGATTGGCCGCATGGTTCGCTTTGCGCATATTGCACTTGGTTGTCGCCAGTAGTAGCCTGGCTAATGCATCCTCCGTTACCACTGTTATCATTTTCTGACTGTAGGCACTGTGACAGAGCAGATTCGATAAATGGCAGGAAGGGTTTCAACAAGTCCGCATCGAAAGCTGAAAGCTCTGCACTGCAGGGCCAACTATTATCCGCATATAGGGTTTTTTGTTCGGGAGAGATTCCAC